ATCCCAGTGCTCAGTGTGGGCTGCATCAAGCACTGGTTGCAGCCAGCAGTGGCAGCCTGCTGTCATCCCACGCACAGGTCTGAGGGCTTGCGCCCCCAGGAAGAGTCTGGCACAGTCCCCCACACTCCTTGTAAAGTGCTGGGAGGCTGGGACTGGGGGGGGGATGGAGCCGGGCATGGCAGCCATGGGGGCTTCTCCCATGGCTCCCCCCACCTGGGGAGAGGCAGGCACAGCCAGAGGAGCCACGGGAGAACCTGCAGTCACCTGGCTGTGCCTGCCTCTGCCCAGCCGATCTGAATCTCTGAATCAGCGCTGAAACAGCGTTGAAACTCTAAAACAGATTTGGCCGAATCAAAACAGAACTGCAATCTGAAATACCAAAACGAATCACTATCCCTCCGAAACGGCTGAATCTGAAACGGAAACAGAACATAGCCGTTTTGCACAGCCCTGATAAGCACATGTGTTGGCACTGTTGAAATGTGACTAGTCACAACCTATAGAGCCATGGTTCTCAACCTTTTTAGACTCAAGGCACCCCTTAGAAAATGCCAGCTCTTACTTTTCACTCTGTTTATGCCTATGGAAAAATAATAGATAAGTTTTTCTGTTGCAGAGAACTCAAAGACTACAACTATGGATTTCTATTTGAAATCTCTGGGTTTATCTTGTAAATCTTATTTGCGCATCACCCTTGAAAGAGCTTAAGGCATCCCAAGATGCTGTGGCACCTTGGTTGAGAATCACTGATATGGAGCATGTTTGATTAACATGCTTTTTTAATAAACACTTAAGTTCTGATTCAGTGTAAACTATTATATTAAAAATACCAAAATGGAAATACTGGCCAGCACAAATTCAAGCTGAAGAAATGGATTCAAAAACAATTCATTTGATTTTTTAAAGATCTTTCCCAGGACATGAAGTGCATCTTGGGGGGGAGGGGAGAGGGGTTGTTTTGTTTTTAACCATAATTTGGTCAGTATGGTTCTTTTTCTGCAGGTTTTGTGCAGTGGGTTCCACATAACTAGTAAATACTGGAGGCTTTTTGTGTAAGGCTTTTTTATGAGAAGGCTGGAGTTATCTGCAGCCGACTTTAGGGAAAAGAAAAATGTGTGAAATAAAGTAGACTGGATCTTCCACAAAACACTTCTGGTTAAAAGCTTAACATCATTTTTATTGATAGTTCATATCCAAAACATTCCTGAGTGAAATAAAGACTTACCCAGGCCTTGTCCTGTATCAGGAGAAATGTGGACTAGGGCTCAGATGGCATTTGAAAAAACCCAAACAAACCAAACAAACACTGCAGGTATACTGCAGCTGACAACAGTTGCATCCATTTATCTGAACTGAAGCTGTAGCTCAGAATAGTGAAAATGTGATAGAAGTTGTCTATTATCTTGTTGCTAAGGAATGGATCAGGTAGCACCTTTGGTTTCAGTCAGTGTTTTGCAGGAAGCTTAAGTGGTCTGCATACACAACTGTCTCCTGTAACATCAGAATTGTTAAGATGCCAGGTCATAGTATGGAAGGCTGTGTATAACTGGGACTTTAGAGTTGTTATGTCACATAGCCCAGACACTAGGCCACACCTTTGGAGTTTACCAAGTGTACAGTGAGCTATGCATCATTTTTGGGATCATAAGTCATGCAGTAAACAGGGACACATGCCACATGCCATTGCTGTCTTAGAGGGAGAGCAGGCTTTCAGAGGAGTCTGTTCTTCTTCCAGGTCCAATGCTTACATGGAGGGAACACGGGGACGTTTTTCATTTATTTGAAAGAAACATTTGAGATTTTTATGGAGAAATAAACAGTGTAAACAACCTTCAAAAAGCTAAACAAACCTGCTTTGGAAAGAACGAGTGCAAAGATGATAAATGCTGCATTGTAATCTGGTCTTGGTTCATGAGAGGTGGGTAGAAAAACAAAGGGGAGAACTTAATTCATTTTACCAGAAGCCTTCATGTCTCTGCCTTTGTCTTCACTATACACCTGGTGATGAATCAAGGGGTGGCTGGAGACATTATTTAACTCTTCTCTGTGTTTTGTTTTGTGTCTTTTGTTGTTGGTTTGTTTATCGTTTCTAAAGCAAGTATACCCCCCTTTGTGGCAATGAAAAAAGAAAGCAAGCGTTTTTACTCTTTTGAAGACAGGTGGAGAGAAATCCCCACACTGAGTGCTGTATAGTACTCCTTCCCTTTTGTTTGTCTTTACTAATTAGTTAGAATGGATGGTATTAAGTTCCAGTGACTATGGGTGTTAGAATTCCTACGTATCCTGCCTCAGGGAATTATACTCTGGAAAATTAAGTATCCGTCAAAGCAGGAGGTGGCTTGTACAGTTTGTATCTCAGCTTCTTCTTTCTTTCTTTTTCTCTCTCTCTCTCTCTCTCTCTCTCTCTCTCTTTTAAAGGCTTAAGAAAAGAGCCTTTTGTCTTCTTTTCAGGAAAGTTACACTGAAATTCATCTGTGCTTTATTCATCTGCCTTCATTTCTGCCATTCATGGGCAGCTGTGGGTTATTTAGGACAAAGCTGATGAATTCCTAACCTCCGTGTTCAAAACAGCATATTGGGAAAGGTTCAAGACCTTTTTTTTTAGTACTCTAGTTAGTGTGCTGAGATCTTTCTCCCCTTCCCCTCTCCACTATCTCTAGATTGAATTTATGTCTTACTGTTTAATGGCATTTAAGTTTCTGTTGGATTCCTTCAGACTCATGTGTCTGGATATAAAATACATGGACATTTTTTCTCACTATGGCCAAGCTTTAGAAATAACTCCCAAGACAATCTGGTTGAAGATTCATTTTCATGGTGTTTATTAATAAATACCATTTTTTCTAATGATGACTCAGTTTTAGACATCAGCTGCTAGAAAAATGTGTCTTAATTTTATATTTTTTGAAAATTTGAAATCATTTGGAATGTGAGGATTGGGACATGTAAAATTTGTAGGCTTTTGTTGTAGTTTGCTTAAATAATTCCATGAATTTCAGGGGAAATACCATATCCTCTTCTTTTATTTTTTTTGTAGGTTACTCGCATATATCCTGTGGGCAGTTAGGCTGGTGTAAATCAGCATAAGTCAGTGGAGAAGCTCTCATTTGATTTGTCATACGTATAACAAGAATGCTTCTATTGCCCTGAGTTGCATTACTTGAGCATTTACAGATGCATTGAAATCAGGGTCCTTTTTTAAACTTAAACCTGGAACTCCAAAATCAGACTAAAAGTCCTCAGTTCATGCACCTACTGTTAATTCAGAATATAAAATTTATTTATAGTTAATCAAGTATCCTTCTTCATCCCCCACCTGCACCATTTCTGGGAATGGAGGGCTTCATATTTTTAGGCTTCCTCGAGCTCCCTTTGTAGTTAACAGAAGCTGGATCAGTTCTCTTTTGTAACTACCCCTTTCTTTCTTCACAGATTCTTCATACTCAGAACCTCCTGATGTTCAGCAGCAGTTGAACCACTACCAGTCAGCAGCTCTGGCCAGGAACAACAACAACATTAGCCCTGTACCACTTTCAGGGACTGGGGAGAAAACAGAAGCCATCCTTAACTGTGAATTTTGTGAATTCTCCTCGGGTTACATTCAAAGCATTAGGCGTCATTACCGTGACAAACATGGAGGGAAGAAGCTCTTCAAGTGCAAAGATTGTTCCTTTTATACAGGCTTTAAGTAAGTTCTTTGCAAAACAGATGAACTGAACTCACTTTTTAAAAGTTCTTTAAAAGGCAGGCACTTCAGCTCCTGAGATCTCTGGGGGCTGACTGTAGCAGAAGGAAGCAGAGCCCAAGGAGACCCAGGAGAGAAAACAGGAACAGCCACCCCAGGTCACACCAGGGTTCATGTAATCCATTTTCCTGTCTGTGACAATAGCTTGTATCATCTACAGAAGGGAGTGTAAGAAGTTCTTGCAGTAGATTCTAACAAAATAGTCTCTGTACAAGAAATTAATCTTGCTCTCCATCATCATTAGTGAGAGGCTAGTTTGTACAATAAAGAACAAGGGTTTATAGCATGCCCCAAACTGTTGGGACAGCTTTTCTAGGAAGCTCAAAACCAGCTTGAGGCATGAGAAGGGCAAATGTCTAGTGAGGTAGCAAATTTCCCATTGACTAAATTAACCTCTACCCATGTGACTTTATATTCTGCTCCCCTTTAACCATCCAGCTGAAACAGAAATGAAAGGCATTCCCATAAGTATCTGATGGCATATTGGAATATTTCACCCAGTCAATTAAACTTCCCAAACCAAAGGGGAAAAAAAACTTATTTCCAGGAGTGCGTCTCTTTCTGTTACACCCCAGTTCCTGATTACTGTTTATCACAGGTCTTATGCTTTCCCCATAGTGTCAGTGCAACTCTTGTTCTCATTCTCTTCTCCATCTAGTACTACTGGTGGCTGCCAAACAACCTTAAATTAAGATGAGGCTAACTTTGACAGTTGTGACAGGGACGCTTGCATTCTTTTATGTGGTATGTCAGTTTTTTGTGGATGAGGTAGCAGAGCTCTCAGAAAATCCCATCCTCCACTCATTAGAGAGTGAAGAACATGTATTGAAGTCAATGAAAAAGTACCTATTGACTCCAGTGGCTATTGGATCCAGCCCAAAAGCCAGCAGAGTTCGTACATTCCTTTGCTCTCAAGCTAACCCGCTAGTGGAGCTTGAAAGGGACCATAAATTCCTTAATCAAGGGCTAAGCAGCCTGCCTCATTCACTAATTGGACCACTTCTTAAGCCAAAATTATTGAGCCCCTTTAGTTTACAAACTCCTCATTTCAGTAGCTGAGCTTGTAGCCAGGTTGGGTGTGTAGTTAGTTTCTAATGCATGCCGGTGCCCTGTATCAGTGTTTGTAAGCATGCAACTACGGTGGTGTCATGAAATCTGTTTGTAGAGTTACTGAGCATTCATGGAGTTTTTAGACTAGCATTTCCAAGCTTACATGACTGTTGTTTTAACTATGATTTTTTTTTTAAATTTGGGGGGCACATTTTTTTAAAATTATAAGACACTTATTGCTAACTAAAGTCCATTTACATACCAGATGTGGATGACAGAATTTCAGCTGCTTTTGAGTTAATCCCACAAAGGAAAGGCACTATCAGAGTTAGGTCTGTCTTCACCCCTGTATCTACAGAACAGATGAAGGGATGTTTCTTAAGCTTTCCAAAAACATCTAATTTTTGGCTGAGACAGAACATGGAAGATTTCAGCCCAAAGACATTTTTAAATAACCAGCATGGGGAATGAAAATTGTTTTTCTGTCTTCCATATAGCACTAAGACATATAAAAGAATGTTTTGGCCAATATGTGGTGGCTACATAAAGGTACACATCTATACACATGAAAATTGCATAAGTAGTCCCACTAAAGTACTATGTGGCCTTATTCAGACAGGAGTGAGTAACTGCTGCAGTGTTTAAATAATAGCTCTGTAGGAAAGCTATAATATTACAAGTGTGCAAAACTACAAAATTACTTCTTCCTGTCTTACAGATCTGCTTTTACTATGCACGTGGAAGCTGGGCATTCAGCAGTTCCTGAGGAAGGACCCAAAGACCTCCGCTGTCCTCTCTGCCTCTACCACACCAAATACAAACGTAACATGATTGACCACATAGTTCTGCACAGAGGTAAAGTCCTTTATGGTATTTGTTTTTTGACAAAGAGCTGACTGAGCAATAACCTTTTTTTCAGACTGGTGAAACGAAGCTCTTTTCCTCCAAATGTGAGCGTTAAAACACAGAATAGACCAGCAGACCTTGTGCCTTTTTTTTAATGATACATTTTGTTTCTGTCCAATGAAATACAATGGATTAGACTGAAGTTGAAACAGGTATGATTGAAAAGTGCTGTTTAAAATTTCTACTAGACAGGTTTACAGTCATCTGTTCAGCAAGAGCTACATTACCCCACTGTTCTGTAGAACAGAGAGGGTAGCACTTACTGACTCCTGAGCATTTTTTTTCTCACTGCATATGTATTTCTAAGATACTTACTGGTATTTCTGTGTTGCGTATCTTCTCTGTACAATGTTAAAGGATAAATCACTTCTCCCAATTCTGTTCCTTATCCTTGAGGCTCAAGAAGAGCCTCAGCTATCTGTTTTCACCCCTCATGCATCACCTGTTATTAGAAGCAAAACAAAAAATATCCAATTTTTATGACTTCTGTAAACTAACTGAGAGCTGGGTTAGGGATTTTTATATTCTATTAACCACAGGCATGCAAGCTTAGAAGAGACAGCTGTTTGGACTCCCTGGGCTGGGATTCCTGCCCACAGCCATCACACTTGATGCTTATAGATGGTCTGTTGGCTGCCTAGCTCCAAACCCATGTGTTAGGATGGCACTCTGCCTAGCTTGCAGGTTGGGCAGCATCTCGCAGTGGGTTATTGCTGGTGAGCAAACACAAGTTTTCATATGCCATCTTTTCCTGGAGGAGATCCTTGTGTGACAGCACTGTCGTGCTACATTGTAGCATGCCACTTTCATCCGCCAGTTGCTTTAGTTCCTCTCTATACCTGAGCAGTGAAGTAGACAGAGCTCATATGTATTTCTGACTGTTGGAAAGACTATACTGAAGGAGCATTTGGGGAAGTCGTAAAGACCTTTCTGGGATTCAGAAGGTGTTTAATACAACCACCTCACTGAGTATCAGAAAAGCTAGGCAGACGGTGACAGTGCTCAGCTTGTCTTCCCAGGGTGTTATAGCACAAGGCTTACAGAGCCTGTCAGTCTTCAGGGCATGCCATAGGGGTTACTTGTCTTATCAGAAGAGATGCTTTGGAATAGTGCATGTCAGCTCGTTGAGGAACTGTCTATATAGAGTTCTGGCCCAGTGAGCAGATGAAAATAATTCATCATTCCTGCTAGGTGTATCTTGTAAAATTTATTGTTTTTTTCTGTTCTGGATTTACGCCCACATGCAAAGGCACAACTTTTAAAATGTGAATGAACAGAGATGGGTAGAATGCTGTTTTGTGATGCTAGACTTGTATGGAAAGTTTCTCCCAAAGCTAGTTTGTTGAGGAAATTTTAAGTAAAAATGTTCAATAATAAACTTGTGTTTAGAGTAATATACAAAGATAGTTATGTCTCTCAAAGGCCCTTGGAAGTAGGTGGATCTGTCTTGTGGGCCAGTTCCTTAGCATACCTGTAGCTGCTGCACAATATTTTGAGAGCACAGAGTGGCTTTGAGCACTGGAGCAGGTAAACCCTTGGGTGATGTAAACCTGCTCTAACCAAGAGTGTGGTTCAAGGCAACTCTTACCCAGTTTCCAAAACAATGTATTAGGTGTCATTGGCAGCTGTCAAATCATAGAGAACAGACTGATGTCTAGACAGGCCTGGTGGAGGGGTGTGTGTGTGAAGTTGGCACACAAGCACATTTATACTTTCTGAGCTGCATTTCTATTTCCATTTTCCAATACGCTCTGTTAGATGCTCCTTCATTTTAGTTTGCATCTGGTCCAGCCAAAAGAGATTTATGTTTATTTTTATTTTTCCCTCAATTCATCTAGTGCTCCTGTCACAGACTTCTAGACATACCAAATGAAAATCTAAAAACACAGGCCAGAAAACCAAACTCCACTGACAAAGCCAACACTAGTAAAAAGCCCTTCCAAAAAAGGAAGACAATCTTCCCAGCTCAACCTCTCTCTGTGTTCTCCTTAGATAATGGATAATGCTTCATTGTGCATAGCTTTTATGATCTTGTAAGAAGTTCTACAGAAAATACACAGCAGTGTTTGGGTCTGATTTCTTACTTACACTGTCGTCCCTCTAGGCCCCACCAAGACTGCTCTGATTATGAAATGGAGCCTTAAACTGGGTGTAAGCTGCAGTTATGAGTAGTATAAATGAGACTCGGCCCTGCAGAGTGTCAAAGATGTTGGTTCCTAAAGGTTTTCTCAAATGCACAGCACTTAAAACATAAAGGACAACCCATTCAAAAACTGCACTGTTCCTCTTAGGTCACCCTTCCTAATGAATATGACTACTTCAAAAACCTCACCGTGTTTGTCACTAATCATGGCATCCTCTGCAAATTCGTCGAGATTTTAGTGCATGCAGGAACTGAAATACTTTCCCATCTTTAGAAGTGATCTTTTGACAGGGTGGAGTCATGCTGAGCATGGTCTGAAATGGCTCTGTCCCTATTCTGTTGACAGGATGAGGGCTTTGATCTTAAGCGATCAGTTCAAGTGCTGTCATTTTGCAGGGGGTTGAAGTGAGGCATAAAATCAGTAACGGTGCACTGATTTACACTAGCTGAATATCTGGCCCATTTAAAACAAAACAACAGAACTCACAGCTAGTTAGTTGTAGGACATGACACTCTACTTGAGAGTTTTCATTAGGTTGTTCAGTGCTTTGGTACATGGTACCAAAGGAAGAAAATGTCCTATATCTATGTTTGTTTGTTTGTTTGTTTGTTTATATGCTTCCCTTCCTAGAAAAGACTCAGGGTAGCTTGCAGTAAGAGACAGAATAACATGTAAAAGCAAGTGGAATATTAAAATAAAATATGAAACAAAGATTCCTTAAACCAGGGCTTGGCAACCTATTGCCTGCAGGATGGATCTGGCCCATCAAACCATTTGATCTGCCTGCAGATATGGGGCTTCAGTGATGGTCACCACCATGAGGAGAAGTGGCTGCAGCGGACGCTTTCCCTGTGCTGCCAGACAGAAAAGCACTGGTGGTTGCTGCTATGTCCTAGCACCCACCTGCCTCTGTCATGAACTGGGTCATTTTGGCCTGCAGCCTAAAAAAGGTTGTTCAGCCTCTGCAACAGACAGACAGACTCTAATACCCTACTTTAAATGAAGTTAAACAGCCAGCATGGAGCTGAAACTAACAGCTTCTTGACTTCTCTGTAACCATGGTAAATGGATGGCTAGAGAAGCAGTAGCCCATACTAGACTAAATTCACTATGAGCTAGCATATGGAATGGATTGCCTAAGAAGTGTGACAAGGAGTATGCTTCCCATTAAGTGTTATGGGCAGCAGGATCTTGTCAGGTTGTTTCTGAGAGCTCTGCCATGTGTCACCTACTCAGCTCCATCAGTTACGCATTGTCTTAAGTGTGGTTTAACTTCCCTTATACGGGCACAGAGGGAGCCATGATTTGTTTTCCTGCCCTTCAGTAGTCTGGAGATGGAAGGACTTTATAAAGCCAGAGCCTATTTTGCAGTCAGGCAGTGCTGAAGAGACTTTTGGCTACTGAGTTTCTCTTGGCCCTTGCAGCAGTCAAGCCCTGTGAGCTCTTGGAAGTTCCATAGCTGCAGCTCTGCACTCTAGTGCTGTGCCCAGAGGAACTGTTGGCCTTTAATTTAGTCCAGACAGTGCAATTAAGCTTTATTGTCCATTCCATTATGTTTTCCCATCCAGCATGTTGAAATGCCCTGATATTTTTCCAGGGTTGAATGCAGTTTACCAAGACCAATCGTGAGCTTTCATGCCTGTTTCTTTAGGGTTTTTTTTTTTTTAAATGACTTATTTTACTTGATTCTTCTTGGTCCAGGCCCAAAATGGCAATTTAATTTTCATGGAAAGGGGCACAATTTCTCTAGAATGTTGTTTGCAGGTAAAAAGGCTCAAATATTCAGAACTCCCAAAACAGCCTTTACACCCAGTTTCTTTGTGCATGGATGCTCTCTGCACTGGCTGTTGCACATGTGATTTGGTCTATACATGAAGAACCAATTTGTACTCCGTTTTTTGTGTGACCAAATATATACATACAAGGGTTACAGCTGGTGCTGTTGTAACCATAGGCAAAACCAGATGCATGCAAGTAAACCTCTCTACTGAATAGTTTCTTGCTTAGGTACCGGGAACACTGGTCCGGTCTTGCACTACTTCATTGACACTTGACTCTCATAGAAGCGGAGAATGATAGGCAAAGGTTTTTAGGTGATATCATTTATTGGACAAACTGCATAGTGAGGAGAGATGTTAGACAAGCTTTTGGGCACAGGAAGAGTTGGTCCAATAAAAGATATCCCCAAGATATACATCTCTCATATTATTTCCTGGATCATTACATCTGCAACATCACTCTAACCTACCACAGGAAAGGAAGAAGGAAGGAACTTGCATATAATACTGAAGTGTTTTGAAGAGTAAAGATATACCACGTTCCTTTGCATGCAACATACCCATGTATATAGTATACATCTTGCTTTTAAAGAGGAGTCTGAATGAAAAAATAATGTCATTTGTGGTAAGCAGGGATCCTGGTTTTCTCTCTTTTTATCAGAGAATTTTGGATTCTCTGACTAAAAACTGCAAAACCTGCATTCTTCCATGATTAAAATGAAAGGCCACTATATGTATATAGGTATCAGATGAACACAATGTTTTATTGATATATTTACAATTTTAAAGCAGTTTGAAAGCTTACCAGTGTCTCGATGATTATAATAAAATACATTCTAAATACCTATATATTTTGCTGTTTGTTTTTTTATCATAGAAAATCAGAGCTCCCCCTGCCCCCCTTGGCTCACCAGGACATGGGTCCAGCTGCATCTGTTTCCACAGCTGCTTTGTGGTGCTGAGCAGCACTGATGTGCCTGTGTCCTTCCCCTGCCCATGCTGTTGCCCCTCACTAGCAACCCACAGC